ACTTGGATCCTTGGCACCTGTGTATGTCTATAAAGTCATCGGGTAGATTTCAATGGTAATGTTTATCATCTCTACTAATTAACATCATGTAAATTTCCATGCTTCCTCCTCAAATATAATTGTGTGTCTGTGTGTGTGTGTGTGTGTGTGTGTGTATGTGTGTGCAATGAAGTTTAAGGGGGGAGATAGAAATAAGAAATCAAAAACCAAAAGACTCGTCAACATGGCATGGGTCAGCCCTGAAGCACCTCTCTCATCATTTTGTCCTGCGGTTGGGGAGTCACAGGATTTATATTTGAGTGTGGACTTTCCAGAGCATCTGTAAATGGGAGGTGGGGGTGCCCACTCTTCTCTAAGTGACCCCCACCCTTATTTTATAGGTTTTAAAATTTTTCATGTTAGCTATTTTTTAATTATAAAGTATGATATTAAGAACACATAAATAGGAGTTAAAGATGTGGTAAAACCATTAATAGTGTTTGTTGCTCTTGCAGAGGACCCATATTCTGTTCACAGCACCCACAATGGGCAGTTCACATTGTGGTACCTCCAGTTCCAGGGGATCTGATGTCATCTTTGGGACCAGGACACATGTGGCATACTCTCACACAGATACCTGAACATATACACATATATAGAAATAAACCTCTAAAAATCCACTTAAATATTATAAAGCAAAACTAAGAATACAATTAAGTTAAAATATATAAAAATTAAATTTAAAACACAATTTTTCCTTTCCCATTTACTTAAAGATAAGCAACGAATTACATTGTGACTTAAAATAGTAAAACTTCGGCTTAATATTAAAGTCACTTAAGTTTAATAAGTATTTTATTTAGGAGTAATGTAAAATTTTATCATGTAATAAAGATTTCATTAAAGATCATGTTTTCAACAGGCCATTACTAGAAAAAAAGTTATTAAAAGTCAGGCAGACCAATCCATAAATAAATTTTGGTAGAACAGTGCAATTCTTCACCGAGGTTTATATTTAACCCCAAACCTTTCTCAATTCAGTCTGTGTTCATGAAACTATATAATCTTACTGCTGTGCAGGCTCAATGACAGGCTTAATGATTCCTGAAATTCTGCTCATAAGTATTCAGAAATATGAATGTGCTTGTAAGTGCTCATAATCACCTCTTTATGAATAGCTTCTGTTTCAGTAAGATTAACACTATGGCATTAGAGAAATATTTCATCTCCACACTTACAAGATTTATCTTTTATTGAAATAAATTACTGAATTCAAAATTAATTTAATCTGAATTTCAACTTCATTTCTTCAATTTCCCCTACAATATAGACATGTTTTCCTCTAAAAACATATTTAAGGTATCTTTTTAGTCACATGGTTTTAAATATGCAGCTTTTAAACTTATTTAAATCGCTGAGTGTGGTGGTGCACACCTTTAATCCCAGCACTTGGGAGGCAGAGGCAGGCGGATCTTTGTGAATTCAAGGCCAGCCTGGTCTACATAGTGAGTTCCAGGATAGCTGGGGCTACAGGGAGACCCTGTCTCAAAAAGACCCCCCCCCAAAATTTAATGTATCACACATACAAACATATTCACATAAATTTTAAAAATTACTTAAAATTTAACATATTTTGTTAGTTACCAATCATGTAGCCTTAATTTAACTAGAAACTCAATTCTTCAACAGTCTTAATTAAAATGTTCTCATTTATTCAATAATATTTCAAAAATATTTGCTTTTCACTTCCCTGCCACATTCACATAGTTTTAAGTAATAGGCATGATCAACTTTATTTCATAAGGAGTTTCTTCTGGAGCTGTGCAAATTTTATTTTTTTGTTTTTAATATAAAAAAAGTTTTTTATTTTATGTGTATGAGTGTATTGCCTGCATGCATGTAAGTGCACCCATGCTGTGCAATGCCCACAGAGTTCAGAAGAGGGCATCAGATTCCCCTAGAACTGGAATCACAGACAATTTAGCAACCATATGGGTGCTGGGAATTGAACCAGGGTCTTCTGCAAGAGCATTCAGTGCTCTTAACCAGTGAGCCATCTCTCCAGCCCCCAAGAGCTGTACAATTTAAAAATAAAACAGATAATTTTAATTATAGAGGATGACATGACAACAAAATTTATATAATAAGGATATAATAAAATAGAAATGTGGCATATTTATTCAGTAAAATGACAGTATCCCCTCTCTTTAAGTTTGGGATTGGATTTTCCTTGAAATAATAGAATTTAATCTTTTATTTTGCAATATGTTGGAATGCATTTCATGTAGAATGCATTAAATAGTATATTTACTTTGAATATTTATTCAAAAATAGTCCTGGAATTCTTAGAGCTATAATAATTCTTTATTATAAATATGAATCAATAAAGTCTGTTAAGAATTACACAGTGCAGTCTAAATGTATATGTTTCTGTTCTTGCCCATTTTTCTAGTGGGATAAAGCCCTGTCAATTGCACCTGGGGTTTCTCTGAAATATTGGAAGAAGTTAATGCAGAGGTAATGCAGACAGCCTGTGTGTAGAGATATTTTAAAGCCATGTATCAAAGAAGAAGAAATAAATATACTAGTAGTTTTAAAATTTTCTTATACATGTTATATTTTAAATAATAAAACAAGTTTGTATCTACTAGTACACTAAGTTAAATGAATTAGTTATAAGTAATTTTGGTATTAATATGTTTGTCCTGAACTCTAATGAAGATAGTAGAAGGTAAATTTCTCTTTATCATGGAGACAATATATTCCTACTAAAGTACAAGTGGAAGGATTTTCTGAAGGTTATCAAAAGCTCATCAAATAATATTGTATATATAAATGTAAATATTCTCTCTGAAGACACTAATTCTTGCCGTTTCTCCATCTTGAGTGTAAGGTAGTAACCAATGAAAATAAGGGAACTTAATATCCTTTGCATTTTCCCCCAAATATATTAGCTTTCTAGATTTACTGTAAAAAATGATCATACAGTAGCTGATTATCTCACCGTTTTTGGTGACTAAAAGTTGGAAACCCATTTGGCACAGCTGGTTTCCAATGGAGTCTCTGAGGGAGAATCTGTTCTGTGTTCTCCCGCCTTCTGATGAATGTTGCAATCTTTGGTCTCTAGTGACTGATGAGTGCATCACTAACCTCTGACTCAGCTTCACTGGCTTTATCCACTGTGTGTCTCTGTGCCCAAATTCTGGATTTAAGGCCTACCCTATCCTAATTTTCATAATTCTCTATTTAATACATTTCATAGGAAAATATTCTAGCTAATTATAAGATAATACTTTGAAGTTCCATGTGTTAAGAGTATAATGTATCCTTTTCAAAACACATTTTCAATCAGAACACATTCTATTCTAATCTATCACTTAGCAACTGTGTATTTAGTACCAGTTCTACTGCAAATTCTTATGCCAGTAAAGTACTATTAGAGAGAAATTTCATTTTCTTTTGGCATTATACAGAGAAATTTTTAATTTTTCTCTTATATGACATGGATTAGGAACAATTCAGTTGTTAGTCATATGCATAAATAAAAACTAACAAAAGCTAATCATGGAATATATAAGGATTTGCATACATTACCATGAGGAAGTAGGCTGCTCCCTAATATCCACTCTCCCAAAAATATAAACACAAGCGTTCTGTGAATGCCAGATCCCTGTAAAGTTGTTACTTTAACACACTTACAAATGGTACTGTTCCTATGAATTCTTAAAAAATTCAAGGTAGTAGATGTTTACTTATTTCATAAAAATTATTTCCACCTCAACATACACCTAAGTAAATGTCACTTAGGGACAATGTATAGTAATAACAAGTAGATTAAAACTAAAGTTTTAGTTTTAATGCTGATAACAAGTAGATTAAAACTAAAGATTTTTTAATATTCTGTATAATTTTTGATATACTTTTCTAGACTCTAGTACTATATTGATATTCAACTACAGTCCTTCTAATGGTAGGTATCTATGGGATTGAAATGTTATCAACATGAAAATATATTTTTAAGATGTTATTAAGATAAACAGAGAAGTCAATGGAAGATGCTAGAAAAGTGCTCAGGGCATAGCAGCATGTAGGAACTAATGGAGTCTGCTGTAGCTGGAGTGCAGAGCCTAGTGAGAAAGGTACACAAGACATAAATGTTTTTGACTTTTTTAATATCTTGAGCATTTTTTCCTTGATCCAAAGACCAGCAGAGGACATTAAAGGACCTAAAACAGGGTATAAAATGACCTGCTCATTTTTTCATATTGAAAATTCATATAAGCTGAAGAATGAGACAGATTGGGGAAGGTCTGAGACCAAGAAGGCAGGATCTGCTCTTTCTCTTCAACACCAGGAGATAGTAGTGGCATGGAAGTCTTACACAGTGATGGGGGCCAGGAAGAGGCTGACAAATTTGACATATTTAGGAGTAAAAATCAGCTGGATTTCCAAGAAAATAAAGAAGACATTTCTTAGATCTTAGGCTTGAAAAATGGAATAGAAGATATTGCAGTTGACGGACATTTCGAAACAAAGCCAAACACCGACAAAAATTTAAGATATTTGAATTAAATGGGGCATAAAGTCATTAGTTTTGTTGTTTTTTTTTAATTTTGTCACCCAGGGAAGACATTTGACCGTATTTTACTGTTATTTACTTTGGACTGGCCTGAGCAGAAGCAAATCAGGATGTAGGCCAATTTTCCAACAATGTTTCCTCTATCATTGAAAAACAAACCTGATTATTTTCTTTTGTTTCTAAGTTCATATGCTCTTAAAATATTCTCCATACAAATCCCGAGTTTGTATTTTTTACATCCAACCATTCAGAGAAATGGAACAAAAATCTCTTTAATCACGGTTCCAAAATTCATGGGAAAACAGAGTTTTGTTTTCTGAATAACTATATCAAAGACATCAGGATCAGATGCTAAAAATACAGTTCTTGTGGAGCACCCAAATGCTGTGTGACTTCCTAGGGAGACTGGAATAAGCATCTCTTCACCCTAGAGAAGCCACCAAAAACACAGCCAAGAAAGATTCCACCCATCTAATGTATTAAATCAGTTAGAGTTTAATCAGGGTTACTTATAGAACCATGAGCAACATATGATCACTTAAGAGACCTCAGGAATTTTTATAATTTTGTTTTTTATTCAATTTCTGCAATTTTCTTTTTTTAATTTATTAATTTTAAGTGTATGAGTGTATTGCCTGCATGTGTGTAGTGCACCCATGTTGTGCAATGCCTGTGGAAGTCAGAAGTATGTTGGATCCCCCTGGAAATGGGGTTGTTAACCACCATGTGAGTGCTGGGAATTGAACCCAGGTCATCTGCAAGAGCAGTCAGTGTTCTTAATCGCTGAGCCATCTCTCTAGCCCTGAATTTTTGAAATTTGCATACAATATACTTTGATGGTTTTTATATTCCCCTCCCCTATCTGCACTTCCCCAATGCCCCCCCAATTTAATGTACTCTCATATGTTTATATCTGTATCTATATATGATGCAGCTTATAGAGTATGATTTGTGTCTCCAAATGTCCTTCAGCTTGGGTACATTCACTGTGCCCCCAAGAGCCCATTCCTGTTAAACACTGTCTCTCTCAGCAGCCATCGATTGTCAAATGTTCCTTAGGTTGGGCTGGGGTTTCTTACCCACTTCCCAATGTCTATGCTAGCATTTTGTCTGTTTTAAGCTTACATAGGATGTATACATCTGTCACCATTGATGTGTTCATATGAATAACTGACCAGATGTCTGGAAGACTCTGTTTCCTTGTGGTCATCGAACCTCTCTGTCTCTTACAATCTTTCTGCTTCCTCTTCTGCAATGATCCCTGAAAGCACTGTTCCATCATGGGTTTCTATGTTAGTCATCTTCTGCTGCATAAGGAAACTTCTCTGGTGAGAGTGGAGATATGCATTCATCCTATGTGTACAGCAATTTTAAGGTGCTCATATATCCTCTGAAAGAGAGGAGGGTTCTAGCATACTTCCTCATGAGCCTCGCATGAGCTGCCATGCTCTGCCTCATGGGCTGGTCATGGGCCCTTCTTCAACTAAAAGCCCAATCTTGTGAGTATCTCTTGAGGATAAATCACAGCAGTTCTGACTTCAAGAAGGCAAATGCTATGTCATGCCTCTACAACGACCTAAAACACCCAATGACTATGAATTTGAGAGTGTTAATAGGATGAATAACAAAAATCTTCTATTATTATCTAAAGATTAGAAATAGAACTATAGTAGTGCAATTCACATGATAGCACAAATTAAATATACTCAGTTATTTATGGAGAAAAGAGAAGCTAAATCCTAGAAATGGACATAACTAGACTGAGCACTGAAAAAGTACATAATACTTAGATACAAAGAAGCATACTCAGACAGACTAGAGTATGAAGAGAGATAGCCATGCAGAAAGATATGTGCACCCCCTTTGTCCTTCACAGGCTTCAAGATCATAATCCCTTTTTTTCTCCTCCTATCTGGAACATTGCTTTTCTTTAAACTTCCTTACAACAGACACAATGTTCTGCATCTCATTGTTACTCAATGATTGTATCAACCTTTATAAGCTATTTTTGTTTACAGGCTCTGTACTCATAGTTATGTTTATTTAAACATTTAAAGATCTGTTTTCAACAAGGTATACTTCTACACATTTAATTACCCCATTAAGAATCAGTAATCTCATCATATAAATCTGCTTTATAATTTATTAATAATTAAATTCATGGTCCATTTTAACAGATAGACTATACCTATTTCAAAACCTGAAGTATATGGAACTTTTAAATAATGAAAGTATGTACTAGAAATGTCACTTAATTCGTAGAATGCTTGCCTAGCATGCACAAAGCCCTGTGTTTGATCTCTAGCACTACATAAACTGAGCATGTGGATGAAGGAGGATCAGAAGTTCAAGGTCATCCTCAGCTATATAGTGAGATCAAGGTCAGCCTGGGTACTTGAGACCCTCTATATTAAATAAGTTAATAAAAAATAAATAAATAGTTACAAGGGTAAATAAATACAGTGTTATTTTATTCAATTTTGTACTCTACATGTGAAGGAGCATTAGAAGTTCAAGGTTATCCTTAGGTACATAGTGAGCTCAAGACCAGCCTGGGGTACTTGTGACCCTTTATAGTAAATAAATAAATGGTTATGAGGGAAAATAAATATAGTATTATTATTCTGTTCTACAGCGATTTAACTTTAAAATCCAAGTGTTTATGAAATTGAGAAATTTTAGGCATGTTTCTTGAAAATGTCAGTCCAATTGAAAACCTTAATTTAATATTTCAGTGAAATTTAGTAAGGTAGTCTTGATTTCTTTAGGAGAGCTGACCAGTTGATCCAGGAAGATAAGGATGATGTCATTCCATACTGCATAGCCATTGGTGATGTGAAAAAACTCATCAATTTTTTTGTGTCTCGAGGTCAGCTTAAAGAAGCTCTGCTTGTTGCACAGGTAATCAAATAAACATAGCCCACACATTGGTGGGTAGGTTTATCTAATGAAAAAAGTTAATGTTGATCATTTCACTTTCATAAGATTGACAACAGCTCACCTCCAAGTCTTGTGCCTCAATATTTCACTCATGCTGAACTCGTTTTAGATTTTCTAGGCACATCTAAACTTTCAACCATTCCTAAACGTTGAACTTTTACACAATGTTACCTTGGAGCTACCATAAGTGTGAACAACCATTGAGTTAATACAGTGAACTTTACGTTTTCTTTTCAAATTCTAAAGTTATTTACAAGTCATACTATAAACATCAACCACGATTTAAGTATCATTTGTTCAAAATAATAATCTGGGTCTAGGAAATGGCTTCAGTTGCCTGAAAACCCAAGTTCAATTCTTAGAACCCACCTGAAAAGCCCATGCAGTGTCTCCTGTCTGTAATCCTAGCACTTTTCAGAAAGACGGGAGACTGAAAGAAGATACTCAGATAGAACCTAGGATAGGCAGTGCAAAGGAAAGGGAGAACTGACTCCTGAAAAGTTGTCCTTCCACCTGTGTGCAGAAACACACACACACGCACGCACACACAAATTTTAAAAAATAGCACAACAATAGAAAAATATGCATTGAAAAATGATAGACAAGGTTTGGAGATCATTCTATATAATGACAAAATACTTAAACTTTTTTTATTTATTAATTTTGTTTTATATGTATGAGTATATTGCCTGTATGTGTGTAAGTGCACCTGTATTGTGCAATGCCAGTGGAGGTCAGAAGAAGGTGTTGGACACCCCCAGAACTGGAGGTAGAGATGGCTGTTAGCTGCCTTGTGGGTGCTGAGAATCAAACCCGAGTCCTCTGCAAGAGCAGCCAGTGATTTCAAACTCTCCAATCTCATAATGCCAACATATTTATAAATTCTGAGTAAGTTGGTTTAAGGAATTGTCAAGGGAAATTATTTGAATACCTGACTCTATCAATAATTTTTGTGTGAATATTTGATAGCATGGCAGGTTATAACATTACTAGATTTTTACTCTAAGGCTTTTCTTGATTTCTGTTCTAGATGATTGTAAACATACACCTCATTTCTTTATATTTAGTAAAAAATATATGCATTCTATTACAATTCCATTATGAAAAAGCAAAAAATAATAAAAATTTTAAATAATGAGGTAATGAACATTATAACACGTGTATGTGACCTTTGCATATTAATGGCATCGTAAGTTGGCAAGAGCATTCTGGTTGCACCATCTGATGACATCATTTCTGGCCAGAATAACCCCTCATTTATTTCTCCCATATTTTCACAAATCTCCTAAACTCAGAATAGAGTGCTGTCTCTGCTGTTCCCCTATATTTATTTGTGTGTGCTTACTCTGCCACTTTAATAAACCCTTCTTACAGAAATTTTTAAAAATGAAGTTGGTTGATCATCAGTAAAGATTAATTAAAGGTTTGAATTCTAGGCTGCGTGTGAGGGAAATATTCAAACCCTACATTTTTGTACACCAAAAGGAGCTTCATATCCTGATGATGTCTACAAGGAAGACCTTAATGAGTGAGTCGCACACTTTTTGTTTCAGGACATTGTTTTATGACCGTTTTCCCTTTAAGTGTTCCTGAAGGATGTGTAGTTCCACATTGTCTTGTGAATTGAGAACTCATTTCTAGTGCTAAAATGTATTCCACTCCATCATCTAATTCCATTATAAAATCCTGTTGCTACATGAATGGAGAAATGTCAGCAGGTAGACACAGTCTGCACACATTTTATATAGCTTCCAGAGGCATAAATACCTAAAAACAAGAAGGACAGGGTGGTTTTACTATGAAATCAGAATGTACAATATCCAAGTACTTACTGTTCATAATCAATAAACCGCTAATCGTGTTTAGGACACCATTTATTCTCTTTTAAAGAAGGAATCTAAATGCTTAGTTTTATAATGAAATAGCTTAAAATTCTGTACTATTTCAAGTTTCTCTTAGTATTTTTTTTTTAAATTATCAATCTTCCCTATGCACCTTCTGCTTGTTCTTATTATTTCCCAGGGCAACGGTTACTTAATATTTTACAATATTCATCATGTAGTAAGGATTGTGAAATGTTAAGCAAATATTTCTTTTCTATATCTTTGCTTTTATTCCTTTGATTTTTCCATGCTAAGCATTTCAAAGACATGTACAAACCATATTTTGAATATCATCTAAAGCATTTTGTTTGAAACATGGTCTCCTTGTAACCCCAGCTGGCCTGAAGTCATTACAAAAAGCAGGCTGGCCTCAATGTCACAGAAATCCACCTGTCTCTGCCTCCCAAGTGCTGGGATTAAAGGCATGGGCCACCACAGCTGACTTGGATATCACCTAATTTTTTCTTGAGCATATTATCTTTTTTAATAATTTTATTTTTATTGAATTTTTGTGATTTTTCATACAATGTAGTTTGATGGCATTTAGATCCCGTCCTCCATCTGCACCTCCTCTCACTGCCTCCTTCCCAATTTAATGTACTATCTTATATATGTAATATAGCCTATAGAATTTTATTTGTATCCCCACGTGTCTTTTAGTGTGAGTCCATTCACTGGACCCAACCAGAGTCCCATCCCAGTAACACACTGTCTTTCTTCCACCCGGCAGCCATCAATTTCTAAAAGTTCCTTAGGCTGGGTTGGGATTTCTTAACTGCTTGGTCATCTACATCTATAGGAGTTATAAATTATCTGATGCTGGTTGGTAAATTAAAAAAAAATGCCTTTCTTCTGACACTTGTAGGGACAAGATTAGGTAGAGATTTGTCATATCACACATTTAGAAAGACTGACACCCAAGCCTTTTTATTTTTCTACATTAAGACTTAAATTTATAACAAGGATAACAAATTAAATCCTGTTTGCTCTCTTTATCATTTTACACAGAATATTAATTCACATTTATAATGCAATTATAGAGATACTACTGAGTGCATTTTTTTTGTCTTTCTTTCTAGGCTTCTACACAAAGTCATTAAGGAGCTGGCAGAATGGTATTTTCAGGATGGCCGAGCAGTATTGGCTGCGTGTTGCCATCTAGCTGTAGATGATATTGAGGTACTACACTTCATATGATATATGTAAGCAAATAGCTTTTCAGATGTGTCATGATGTGCTTGGCCTGAGCATACATAAATACTGTACACTGTGTGCTTTTTTCTTGATTTATTTATTTTTGTCACAAGATACATATGTATAACAACCTAGACAATGGTTTCTTATTGGTGTACAATCTTGAAGAAACAGTTATTAAGATTTTATTCTTTTCTGATGGAGACTAAGTGACACGTTTAGAATACTGCATACTATTAAAGCGGTTGATAATGTATCTAAGTGGCAGAGGTCTTGAGAATCATGTATGAAGTCCTAGGTTTCACCACTAGCCCTGTAAAATAATAGTAAAATTAAATTCTAAGCTGGTAAGTTCATTGTATATATCACTATCAGCTTCAGTTTTTCCATCTGAAAATTGCAGTTATTATTGAATAGGTAATTCAGTAAAATATTGTGTTCAATGTATTTAAGAACGATTAATATATAGGTTAAAATGAATATATCTACTTATGAGATTGGATGGGAATAGGACCCTAGACAGCATCTATGCAGCTAAAGAAACTGTTTTCTTATTGAGCAAGCTTGCTATGGCATACCTGATTCGTGGAAATGAACTGGAGTTGGCCGTCTCTGTGGGCACTGTGCTAGGAGAATCTGCAGCACCAGCAACCTATTATGCCCTAGAATTACTGGCAAGAAAATGCATGATGATTCCAATGTGGTAAGAATCTTTTAAATGAAAGAATAGTTTCATAGAAATGGTATGTATTTTTATAAAACATTTTAAACTACCTTTGAAAAGATACTTGTGAATAATATCTAAGTTATTATTTTGTGTAAAGGATATGATAATGAGAGGAAATTATGACAGAGGGATGATGAGAACTACCATGGTTATGTCATTAAACCTACCACAGTCCATTCTGAAGTAGCCCAGTTGTAATTTCATAATGCTGCAAGTGTTAAAGTATCACCAGACCAGAAATATATAGTTTTTCAGATTATCAGGACCAGAAATTTCTACTTTTTCAAATTGTTCATGTCTATTCCTTGTTTTTATTATACCCGGAGTTCTAGTGTAAATGTAAGGCTTGGAGAACAAAGTCACTCTTCTAAGGGAAACCAACAACAGAAAGTTTTGCCTAGCGTATACCATGTCTCCAAATTCTGTCAGTAGTTTTTCTTAAAAGATAGACTATGGGGATTCCTTGGAGTGACTCTGGAAATCTAGGTCAAAGACGTTCTCACTCAGATATGCAGAGCCCTATTCTTAGGTCAATCTGTCACTGTGGGGGCACCTTTAGGAGAGATGGGGTGCTTTCATTTAATAGATACTTGTTTACTAAAGGTGATTGCAGCATTTTGTTTTCTTGGAGCTAGAGAAATGGCTCAGCCATTAAGAGACTTGCTGCTGGTTTAGTTCCCAGCACCCATGTTGAATGACTAACTACCATGGTAACTCCAGTTTCAGGGGATCCAGCACCCCTTTCTGGCTTCCAAAGCACCTGCATACAGATGGTGCACATACAAATACTAAGGCACACACATAAGTATAAATTCATAAATAAAAACTTTAGAATTTTATTTTCTCTTTCCTCAAAAATACACAAGACTTAAGAAGTTCCTAAATAAACTTATCAGGACTTTGATCTCTCCCTAATCAGCGTCCCATGCAGACACACTGGTAAAATGAAGCTTCATTGATGACCATAAATACTGACCCATGCATGTAATGGTGGTGATGATGATGATGCATATTGTGGCAGCTAACAAGTCCATATTGCTTACTGTGTACCAAGCACTATTTTAAGTACTGTGCATGTCATGACATTCTTGGTCTTGAGAACTAGACATTAGTTTTTCAGAAGTGTCTGTAAACCATGATTCAAAGTAACGAGCTAGCTCTGAAGTTTGGACTTTCAGCTACCACAATATGACATCTCTGATTCAGAGAAAAAAGCTTTACACTTTCTTTGGATCTGGGAGTTTGAGAGTGAGCCAGTTATCTCTTGATTATTCAAAGTTTTACTCATGTCTCATGGTGATTTATGAGCACCCTCCACTACCAAAATATAATGATATCTCATGATCAGTCTTAGACTTAACTGGCTTCAACACATACTGTCCTCTGACTTCCAGTTACCCCCGCCCCGTCACAAACCTACAACTGTCAACTACCTAGTTTACTATTATCTGCCTTAGTCCAATCCCAAAGCCTGAAATCTAACTCAAATTATTAGTTTGCAAATGTGGCTGATCGATATTAATAGTTATCATCTAATCTGAATGAAATGTGATTATATTTTAAAGTGAAAATAAAAGTGTAACAAATTATTATTATATTAGCAGATTTTTAAAAATCTTTCAGTGAGCCATATGCTTGATTACTTATAACAAAAATCAAACTGCTGTCACCTGATAACTCCTCCCCAATGTCATGCTCTCGTCTCATAGGCACAGCCCTTGGTAGCAGAATTCAAGATAAAGTTCAAACTCTGGAATGTATGGTGCTGACTGCTATTATGTTAATTTTCCCAAGGAATCCATAATCAACATGACTACTGGAGTTCCCCAGATTAAAATTAAGAAAATAATACAAAAAAAAATGTATGGTATTTATGATAGTTGCCTGTCACTCAGCAAGCAACATAAACTAGTTTAAAGAGACTAGCCACAATTTTATAAATCAAAAGCATTTCATATATTTTTACATTTATTGATAAAATTTTGTTTACTTCTGGACACTTATAATATATGTGTGATATGCACAGTCAATATTTTCTTTTTAGCTTTCCGTCTGTTGGATACAGGTACTGTCTAGTTTTATTTTAAAGAATGTTTTTAT